ACACACATACTCACATACACACACATGCTCAAACGCTCACACACACTCACACACACACTCACACACACACACACGACACAACACTCACATACATACACACATACTCACATACACACACATGCTCAAACGCTCACACACACTCACACACACACTCACACACTCTCACATACACACACACACACACACTCTCACACCACATACTCACATACACACACATGCTCACACGCTCACACACACCACATACGCTCACACTCACACACACTCACACACACTCACACACACATGCTCACACACAGTCACATACACACACACTCACATACACACACACGCTCACACACACACAGCTGTGTTCCTGGGGGTGCCTCCTGCCGTCACAGGCCTTCTCTGTGGGGCACTGTCCCAGGAGAGCAGATGCGAAGGGCCGGGTCAGAACCGCCTCGCGTGCTGCCCTCCCCCCAGGCCAACGTGCCATACGAGGTGCAGCTCTCTGCTCGCCACAGGGGAGCATCCCTGTGCCTGAGGAACCGCGGGACACTGGCTGGCCACTGTGCAGCACTGTCCCAGCTGGGTCCCCTCCCCCCTGGGGCTGCTGTGCTTCGTCCAGGGCCCCCCTTTCTGCAGAGCCACTTCCGGCCCAGATCCCACCTGTCCTCCAAAGGCCTGGAGCGCGACAGACCCGGAAGCTCGCTCAGTGCGTCCTGAACAAAAATCAGGGCTGGTGTCCTGGATCACATGGGAAGAGGCTCAAATAGGACAGCGCCTCCTCTCTCCCTTGCTGGCATCTCTGTCCTCAGGGAGGCGGTCGCTCTGGCCACCTGGCTCAGGAGGTCCCACCAGTGAGAGTTGACGAGGGCAGCGTCTGGGGCTCCTGGCTTCTTCCCTGCTTCTGCCTCCCCCCTTGTGGCTCCTGGCTCCTGTCAGAGCCGTGCTCTCTCTGCGCACTCCTGTTCTCAGGAGCCCAGAACCCAGGGGACCCCAAGACCCCAGAAGTCAGGCAGCCAGAACCTCACGCCTCTAACTCAAGGCATACCCCACCCAAGTTCAGCAGGAGCTGTTACAGAAGTCTGACCCTCAAAGCAGAACTAACATGGCGGATAGGTAAACGCCTGTACTCGCCGCCCCCCACAACCACATCGAAATTACAACTAAAATACAGAACAACCATCACCCAGAACCGCCTGAACTCTGGCTGAATGGAAGTCCCACAACCAGAGAAGCAAAGAAGGAAGCACATTGAGACTGGTAGGAGGGGCGGAGGCGTGGAATCTAAAAAATCAAAATAAATGAACAAGGAATCTAATGAACAAAATAAACTGATAAATAAAATAGAATCAGAGGCATGGGAACATGGAACAGACTGACGAATCCCAGAGCAAGGAGGGAGAGGGGGTGGGAAGAGATTAACCAAAGATCTTATATGCATATATGATTACCTATGGACACAGACAATAGGGTGGTGAAGGCCTGCAGTGGGGGGGCAAGGGGTGTGAAAGAAGAGGGACATCTGTAATATACTCAACAGTACAGATTTTAAAAAATAAAATAAAATAAAATACTAGCCTTCACTGAAAAATGAAAAACAGAAGTGCGACCTCATCCCCTTCCCGCAAGAGCGAGGACTGTACAATCTCAGGGGGGATTGTTAGACAGACGGGCCTTGAGGTCTGGGCCATTCTCACTAAACGCTATTCTTGCTGAAGGTTAACATGGAGTCGTTTGCAGACCAGCTGTGAACAGAAGCTTGACAGGAACCCAACCAACTGCAAACAAGAAATCAACGAGCAATTGACCACATAGTGCAGGTGAGCGTGGCTGAGCCCCTTCCCGCAGGCAGAGCTGTGGGTGTGAATCCCTGTCCTGGAGAGGCTGGGAGTAAAGGAAGCTTCCTAAGGCAGCCAGGTCTCCTTTCCCATGGAGCCAAGTGGGAACCCCTGGTGTCTGGTAATAAATGACCCAATTTAAAAATGGATGACGGAGCTAAATAAACATTTTTTCCAAGAAGACATGTAAATGGCTCGTAAGCACATGGAAAGGTCTCAGCACTGTTCTCATTGGGGAAACACTAATTAAACCCACGGAATGCCGACGGGCTGGCTACAACGGAGAAGAGCCAATGCCAAGGCCTGGCGAGGACTGAGGAAGGGGCACCTCCGGTGCTGAGTGAGATTATAAAACAGCGCAGCCACTTGGGAGAGCCGTGTGGCAATTCCTCAAAATTTAAACACGGACTTGCCATGTGACCCAACAATTCCCTTCCCAAGAGAAGTGAAAACACGCCCCCACATACGCTACACGAGTGTTTACAGCAGCAGGACTCATAACAACGGAAAAGTAGAAACAGCCCAACTGCCCTCCAATGATGACTGAATAGATAAAATGTGGTCTGTCCAGCCCTGGCTGGGTGGCCCAGTCAGCTGGAGCATCATCCCATACACCAAAAGGTTGTGGGTTCAATCCCCAGTCCAGCCTGTATGAGAGGCATGACCTCTCCCTCTCTCTCTCTCTCTTCCTTTCCCTCTCCCTAAAATCAATAAAAACATATATTGGGTGAGGACTTTAAAAAGGGCGGTATATCCATAAAATGGAATATTATTTGGCCACAAAAAGAAATGAAGTCCTGCTACACACTACAGCATCGATAAATCTCAAAAACATTATGCTAAGTAGAAGCCAGTCACAAAACACCACATTTCATTTTTATAAAATGTCTGAAGTAGGTAAATATTTAGAGATAAAAAGTAGATTAGTGGCAGCCTAGGGTGGAAAGACATAGGAGTGACAAGGTTTCTTTTTAGGATGATGAAAATATTCTTAAATTAGATTATAGTGATGGTCATATTCTTAAAAAACTGAATGGTACACTTTAAACAAGTGAACGTAGGGCATGTAAGTTATGTGCCAATCTCGCTGTTTGCTGTGGGAGCCAGAGCGGGGCAGCTGGGGGTCACGGAGGGAAGACGTATTACACACCTTGTCATCGTTTCTGGTCTCCCAACACGTGACCATCTATTCAACCAGCAAATTGAAAAAACAAGAGAATCAAACAAACTAAAAAGGAAGACACCCAGCCTCCCCCTTATTTGGGAGGGAGAGGGAGAGAGATCCCCCCCCCGCCCCCCGGTCCCCGGGAGACAGGGGCTGAGCCAAGACAGGGCAGCCTCCGAGAGCTGCAAACCTGCCCATCTCTGGAAGCCGTGGGTCCAGCGGGACATATTGTTCTTGTGGCCAGATGGCTGACACCCAATTGGCCAGAGGAACGCCACCCCTGCTCCCAACTCCAGCACCACCCAGGCCTCCATCAAAGCCCAGAGCCATCATGGGCCCCAGGAGAGGTAGGGTAACCCAGGACCGCCCCTTGCTGGGCGGACAGAGGCCTGAGAAAGAAGCTCGTGGGCATCTAGGGAGGAAGGACGACGCCTCTTGCGCGCCTGTCTGTGGCTTGGGCCGCCCCCCCCCCCCCCCCCCCCCCCCGAGCAGAGGAGGGGTGATCACAGGGCCTCCTGCCATGTGGGCTGGGCTTGGCCCGGTAACAGGTGCGATCACAAGAAAGATCCTTATGGTCAAATTAAGGTGAGAACACTGGGTGGCAGAGGGTCGGGCATTCTGTCTTCAGGTAGGGCCCTGGCAGCCCAAAGCCTTTCCTGTTTTGAGGGACATCTGGAGGCACAGAAGCCCCTCTTCACTTCGAAGCCGAGGACGCGGAGCCCGGGAGGTCCAGGGCTCACTCCGGCCACAGAGCACGTGTGACAAGCGAGACCCCGTCCAGGGCTGGTTCTGCCTCACGGATCAGCTTCCTGACGCCTGCGTGGCCGCCCTGCCAGAGGTCGGGGCCGGCAACCCCGGGCTTCCCCCTCAGATCCGGCCTGTGGTCCCTCTGCATGGTGATGGGCCCGGAGCCTCAGGGGCTGGACAAACCTTTAAAACCTGCCCCGATGAAAACCCTACAGGATAAACGACCCAGTTTCCTCAAGAAATAAAGAGTCAGGAAACAAATAGTGAGACAGAGGGAGCTTTCTAGACTAAAACCTATAACAACACGTGCAATGTGGGTTGAGTTTGGATCCTAATTTGAACAAATCAGCTGGGAAAGACGTGTAAGGTGACCGGGAAAGGGAACATCAGCTATTTGGTGACGAAGGAATCACTTTTCAGAGGTGGTCATGGTATGAGGGACGGTTCAGTTTGGGGCTTTGCTTTTTTAAAGAGTTTTAGTTTTAAGAGATAGACCCCGAGGTGTTTGGAATTTGCTTTAACGTGGTCCTGGGGCCGCAGGGAGAGGAGGCGAGGGAGTCGCCGGACTGTGTGAGATGGCGGGGCCGCAGGAGGCAGACGCTCCTCTGCGCTGGCATCAGTGCCAACCTCACATGGGAGGTTTTAAATGTCCCGATCAACCTGACGCTGAGTCCAGGCCGGCGGGGGATGGGGTCACAGGGGAGCTCCTGACCCTCCACTTCACGGCCGCCCGCAGGGCCAGGCACAGACCCCAACGCCTCCAGACTCAGGGCTCTGCCCACGTCGGGGCTGGGGTGGGGGCAGCAGCACTGCCAGAGCCGTCTCACCTGCTGTGGGTGCCGTGCCCACCAAACCCCACGGAACCCCACGAAGTGCCCCAGGCCCAGCCCTTCCTGCACCACTCACCTGCCCCCCAACGCTCACACGCTCCTCCTGGCCGCCGGGACCCAGCGCCTCGCTGTCTGGCGCAGGCCGCTCATCACTCAGGCTGTTTATTATTAGCCTGAGATTTGATTAATGCCGACCTGCACTTCCTGGGTTTCCCCCCAACCTGCAGGATGTAAATCAGCAGCAACCTCCCTCCCACGCCTGCGCAGTGTCTCGCCCGGAGGGTGCCTTGGCCTGACGCTCCAGGAGTTCCCTGGCGCTGTCTCCTGACCCCCACTGTCCTCTGCTGCCACGGGGGCGAGGGATGAGGTCTAAGCTCTGGGGGGGCCCAGACCCGGTGCTGGCCCGTCGCTGGGCGCCGTCTCCTGCTCGTCACTCACCCAGGCGGCGGCCAGGAGTCAGCGCTCCCTCCCCCAGCACGCTCCGGCCCTTCCCTCCTGAACAACTTGTCATATGTTATCGCCTAGAAATCTCCTCTGTTCCCGCTTCAGTTGGTGTGCCACCTCCTCCGGGAAGCCAGCCCTGACTGCCCGGCCGGGTGACGTGTCCGTTTTGTGCTTCCTGAGCCCTGCCCTCACCCCTGGCCATCAAAGCACTCAGGAGGCTGACAGTAGAGCTGTTCGGCTTGGGTTTGAATCTTGGTTCTGCCACTTACCAGTGGGAAGCCTGGTGGCAGCTTACCTTCTCTGTGCCTCCATTTTCTCTTCTGCATGACAACAGCACCTCTCACAGGTCGCTGTGAAATGAGCTCACAGTTACATTCTGAGAGCAAGTTCTTGGCACATGGTAAGTTCTCAATAGATGATATGGATGGAGGATTCGGGCTGGATTGCTCATTACATCATGAGTCTGTGTTTCCCAGCCCGCGGAAACCTCTGCAGGGGGAGGCTGGAGTGAGACAAACAGCGTCACAGAAAGCCCAGGGCGTGTGGGGAGGCCTGAGGGGT